TTCAAATAATTAACCCCACAAAAATTCATCACAAATATTATCTAAACGTGGATAGAACAAATATTTGGGTATCATTTCTCCATGTCATTGTTGAAAGTAATTTTTTAGCACATTCTTTCGTCATTCTAGTGCTTCGAGTTATTTTATTTGTTGGCCGATTAACTGTAACACTTTAAATAACAAACATTCTAATATATTCGTGTCTTTATTGGCTTTTACATGTTCTACATCGAAAAAAAGAAGCGAAGAATATTTGTTGACGTGTCAATTGAGAATCCGCAAATATTTCTCAAACATTAATTGCCATTTTGCATTTCTCTTCGTCTTCTTGTACTTTATTAAGTAATTTCTTTGTATGTGATTCTTTGTATAGAGGCTGCATTGGCTTGTCTATTTGTTTATAAAATAAAATAAAAAATTTCTCGGATTAATTAGGGTCCGTATCACATAATTGTTTCATTTCACCCACAATTCCACGGATAATCTCATTTCACCGTTGGTTACTACACAACTTACCATCAATGCTAGCATTCACACTAACAATTGAACCTTCTTATGGAGTATAAATGTCGATGAACCTCCTGACTAATTGCCATAATTCAATACCTTGTAATTAATAATATTTTTCCGAATTCCGATGTTTTAAACCCGTGGCGTAAAAGAATCCTATTTGGAAGATTACTATTAATTACCTACCTTAGAAAAAGTTCATAGTCTTTTATTGTGTCACCACAAGGCCCTTTAATGCAAGGTTTGCTTATATCTTTTTATGGTAAAACCCACTAATTAAAGAACAACGCGTTTGCCAACTGTCATTAACAATTCTACATTATGTGATATATTTATACAAATGTACAGATAATGGTGCACAAATGGCGTCAAGATCAAAAGATAAAACAAAAAACAGTATATAAATGCGATTTTTAATTCATTGAATTGGAGATTCCTCGCCAAGGAATTTTCGATGAACGACGGTTCACATTATTTAAAATACTCGATTCAACCTCCTTTTTCGTCTCCTCTCAATAATAATTTTAGAGGAGTTATGTCCGAACTTGGAGACGATGGATTCAATACCATATGATTTTTATCTCAGTAAGCATTTTTTTTTTTAAATTTAAATTTTTTATTTTATTTTATTTTTTACTATGATTTTTTATTAAATATTTAGTATAAAAAAGGATTGTTGGAATAAATTATGAAAAATATTGTAACGATAATTTAGAATTCCGTCATAAGCAAGCTACCTGGTACCGAAGTGCATACACACACGCAAGATATTATACTGCTAGTCGGTTATTATCGATTGTCTCTCATGTGATCAAGTTTGAGGAAATTTATTAAAATTTCGTTTTTGGCATTACGAAGAAACGGCGGGATGGCGTTAATACGCCCAATCCTTTCAAAGGCAAAATTTCTCTGTTCGATGACAAGACAACGGTCTCAATATTTATCAATTCGTACGACCATTTTTAACTATTTAATTCGCGGTTTTTTTTTTGTTTATTCGGCAATCTCAATTTAATTCAGATAATGCAAAGAAAAAAAAAAAATTATGAATTATGAACGATTTTTTTGTTGTTTGATTAGAACTCACTTTTTATGAAATAAATTTGTAAAGTACCACGTGCCTTGTACGTAAAATCACGTTTTCGTCGTACAAATTCATGGCGATTAAAAATTGATGTAAAGGAAGGGCATAAAATCGCATCATGATGCTTAAATAAAGTGCATTTTTCTTTCATGCAATCCCTTTTAACAAATATATTAATTGCTTCTTTTTCAAAAAGCACTTACATATATTTTATTAACATTCACAAAATAATGTTATCTTTAACATTTATCTTCATCGTTTTCTACACTTTAACGATTCTATCCTATATAATCGATCGTCACCGCAATCGCCATAACTTAGATATCTCTTCCCCTATTTTTTCATCTTCTTCATTATTATTTCAGCACCGTCAGAACAAGCCAAATTTTAAAATTAACAATTACAATTTGATATTTCCATCATTTAACTTTGATCCATATAGTAAACAAATAAATTGCGGTCTTTGTATAAAATATGATGGTGAAATATTAATTTGTCGTCGTCCTCGTCAAATTATTTCTTCACCTTTATACAATCTAAACTCTCATCTCTCTACTCTTGGATGCACTACCTCTAATTACGAATTGTCAAATTGCGAATTTTGTTACGGTGACGATTCAAAATTTCAAAAACAAGATAATAGTGTAGCTGAACAACCAGTAATGTCGCCCTTGTTAATAATGTATTTTACTATACCTCCAATGGTTAAAAAAATAATCGATTATGATCAGCAATGCAAATGTTATGTTGTGTCTTCGGATTTCAGCAATAATGATTATATACCCGACCCAGTAAATTCAATTTTGAATAGGCCTAACACGAAAACTGTTCATTATGTTAAATTATCGCATACAAATTCACTTAATTCACTAAAAAATACTAAACTGCAAAAGGAAGATATTCCATTAAATGATTTACATATATCTACACCATCGACAATTGAAAATAAAGATCCTTAATAACAAAAAAAAAAATTATAGACTATACTAAATAAGAAAAACTCTATAATTTTTCTATTTAAATAAAATATTCAACAAAAAACCAAA